AACTAGAGGAAAGTTGTATTTTTCATCGTTATTACATCGCACCCTGACTGCTCATCTCCTCCCCGAGACCCCTCTGCAAGGAATTTGAGTCTGTTCCAAAATTTTCACCCCTTTTATTAGGGTCCTTCTATCATAGCTCTGATCAGAACAGCCGGGCAACATCTAGTTGTACTAGTCTCAATGTAGATAAGCTCATAACTTTTGTAGGCTGTCAGACCTGTGGACTAGTTTTTTTTCCTGAAGTTTTGGTTTCCTGATCTCATTTTTTCAACTGATAGGTAGAGATCAATAAAAAAAATCAAACCATACTTACTGCCATTGAGTCAATACTGACTCATAGCGACCCTGTAGGACAGGGTAGAACTGTCCTTGTGAGTTTCCGAGACTGTTAACTGTTTATGGGAGTAGAAAGCCCCATATTTCCCCCTAGTTATATCTTAAACGGCTACTTGCAAACAAATATTTAAGACCCCGGCACTACTCACCTCGTTAGGATGCAGAACATGATCTTTGTGAACTATATTGTGTCAGTTTACTGAGTTGCCCATAAGATTAAGGTCAAAGCCTTCAAACCCAGAAAACCAATCTTGCAAGGTATTTTTGTTAATGTCTGGAAAGCACCTGTAATTGTGTTGTCTATGAATATATGTGCTTACAAATACAAATTTTTACTTACACATAAAAGGGACTTCAAAAAGTTCATGAGAAACATTCCATTATCTTTTTATTTTATTTTACATGAATTTTTAAAAGCTTCCTTGTACATGTAGATACATGGACTGCATGTATTCATATATTTGTATGCTATTCACATGTTACAATGTACTTGTTTGGGGGTCATTGTTGGTGGTCTTATTAAATAATATTTGTCAGATTCTCTAGGAAAAGCATCCTCCTCAGTGATTCTTAGAAGTGACGTTGTTTACTTTGGTCAGACTGGGCTCATTCTTCCCACCTTCAGTGCTGCAGTCTGTCATCCAGGCCTCTCCCCTCCGGTCCTTCACAAGTGACCACGAGTGAACATTGAGCTCGCCCTCTACACCCACTTTTCTCTTTTTTTTCTTTTTTAAAAACGACTTATTTTGAAAATATTTTATTATGATTTTAGAGAAAACTTACATAGCAAATAAGCTTCTTTTAAAAAAATCATTTTATTAGGGGCACATACAACTCTCATCACAATCCACATATACATCAGTTGTATAAAGC